GGCGGCGGCCCCCCCCGCCTCACCCTGGCTGCCGCGAGCGCGACGTGACGCCACGCGAAGCCCCGCGCCCTGGCAACCGAAGCCCCCGCCCCCAGCGCCACTCGGCCCAGCCATTGGGTGAGAAGGGGCGGGGAGGGGAAGGGCGTCATTCCGCCCGCCGCAGGAAGCGGAAGTTGGGGGAGGTGGCGGTTGTGGCAGTTGTGGGGATCCTGGCACAGTGCTGCCGCGCCTGTTGGTAAGCTCTGTCGTGGCCCTTTTCCCGGCCCGGTGTCGGGGCTGAGGCAGGGGGGTTGGGGCGGCCGGAGGTTTCCCCCCGGCTCGATGGCAGTGGGGCCGGAGCCTGAGAGCGGCCCGGTCTGTCCCCCTGTAGCGCCGAGGCGGGCGGGGGAGGTCTCGGTCCGTGTTGGCCGATAGCGGCCTGGGGTGAAAAACCTCTTTTCCAGGGCGGTGGGTGACGTCCAGCTCTCGTTTATTGGCAAGCCGTGGAGCTGAGGCGAGAGGGGGCACCTCCGAGGCGCGGCGGGGGCTGGCTCGGTTGCTGGTTTTTTGAGGCCCTCATCGTGGGCCGTGACTCACCCGTGTTAATACAGGATTTCCGTGTGGCGTTTGTCGTGTGAGGGGCTTTGTAGGGCACGACCGAGAGGTGCAGCGGTTAGCGATTCAGCCAGTGAAGGAGTTTTACTTATAGGGATGTACTAAAAGTGGGGGGGTGGGGGGGGTGCACAGAGGCTTATACTGCAACTTTTCAAGTAACAGGACAGTAAGAACAGTATTATGACATGAACAGTGAAGGTGCAGCATCATCAGCAGGTGGTCTCAGGTAAAGTGGATGAGACCAGATGCTCATAATGAGTCTTTTATTGAGTATTCTTGCCTCTTTCTGAGCAGCTGTATTTTCATCCTCCTTATTCTCCTCAAATGAGCAGAGATTCTTGATCAAAAATGAATTAACAATAGTGAGAATTAACGCATCGTGGTATTAAATGAGCAAAAACATAACTGCAGCTGTAGAAACAACAGATAACAAGATCCTTCTGTAATTGTAGTTTGAGAAAACTCAAGGAGGGGAAGTAATTTCTTTTGTCTTCTGGTCATCACAAAAGATAAACCTGCCTTCCATGAAGCAGATCATGAATCTAGAAAGCTGGCAGTAGTGTGCTCACTGCTGTCATCATCTTTTCAGGGCAGAGAGCTGTAGCAGCAGAAGTCAAAAAAAGTTTAGTTAAAACTTTTCAGTTAGTGGTATCGTGAAAGGAAGCAAGGGCTTTGGGAGATCTCCCTGTTGTGGTTTAGGCTGCGCTGGGCTGGCTGCTAAATGAACGACACAGAACTGAAGGGGGGGAAAAAAACCACTAGGGATATATTGATCTCAAATTAATGTAGTTAGTAGCAGACACAGGAAAAGGGAGGTGAGTAGCCTGGAGTGTTGGGAGTGGATGAACCTGTGGGTAAAGGAGGTCAATAGCATTGGTGGATAAGGGATAAAATGACCAGAATGGTATTTTGGTCCAAACTGACGATAAAGATTTACTGTTGGCTTAAACTAAGCACATGCAGCCACTCAGGACACTGACTCTTGCTTTGGCAGGGAATTGGTTCTATCAAAAAAGTTGTGTTAGCAAGTGACTAAAGTGATTTTGCAACTGTGTAGTTGCAATTGTTTCCTCCTCACCTCTTGGTCTGCTTTAAGCACAGGGTAGTATTTCCTTTTCTTGTGTTTCTGTGATGATTTTGGGTTATCTCTGCATGGTCATGCAGTTGTACTCTGAGGGTATTACAGATTTTTAAAGAGTAAGATAAGGCTTAATGAAAAATGGAGGGCAACCAGAAAGAAAAATTTGAGGAATGGAAGCTGGAAGTGCATAGGAGTTGAAGACCATCTCTTAGTGAAAGAAGAAATCAGTACTAGAAGTCTCATGGGCCTTCTCCTTTTAACTCCTGGTGGGGTTTTTATTATTTCGGGGTTTTTTTATTTGGGTTTGTTTTGATGTTTGGTTATTTTTTTTTCACTATGCTACTGAACTGGAGTTTAGAGGTTGTACTAGAAAATAGGGTAATCCAAGATTAATCATCACTGTTACCTTGCTAAAGGCTTTCTCCCCTCTCTCCTTTCATCCTCAGACATATGTAGGCAGGAAGAGCTGACTGCTAAAGAGAAGATGACATCTCTAGAAAAAGGTAGGTGGTTCACATGGTGTCTAAGCAGACTGGATTAAATGTCTTTAACTTGAATTCTAAAGACCAGAGTTATACTGTATGCCAGACTCCAGTCATTTAAACATTCCTTTTATGAAGATATTAGGAAGTAGTTATGTGGCTTCATTATTGCAGTGAAAACCAGAGCTGCCTGGATGGAACAGTTAACTGAATGTGGCTTTGTATTGAAAAACAGGTTGTTCCTAGTAGTGTAATCTGTCTGTATGCTTGTTTGTCAGTCTTCCTGTAGTACTTAGAACCTGTTGGTACTGATCAGCCAACTTGAAAGTAAGGCAATACAATGGTGCTACTACAGCATTTTTGAAATTCATAATTTAGGGGATGCAGGCTCACATTAATGCCCGCAGTATGAGGGGAAAAAAAGCAGTATGAAGAAAAAAAGCAGTATGTGTAGCTATGTTGTAAGAAATTTTCTTGCTTTCACCCATTGTGAGAAAACTACTACAATAATATTTCAATCAGCTGAAAACTTAGTGAACTTAAATAAAATGAACTTCAGTAAACATTATATGCATATTGGGGAATTCCTAGCAGAAAGCAGTGTTACTGGTAATACTAGGGCTTATTAATTAGACATGAAGCAAAACTGGCTTCTTGGCTTTTCTTAAACCTTCACTTGGACAACTGAAACACATGGTAGATAGTACTTAAGTCTGCTAAACTTCTTAAGATATTAGTAGCTCTCTAGCTAATAGCTGCTTTTCATTTATTTCTTGCTTTTAAAAGACTGCTCTGATTCTGTCAGCTCCCAAAACCTGATTTTGCTTCCACTCTGTGAGTAATATTGTCAAGAATTTTCTCCATACTAGCTCTTTTTTGTCTGTTTTTAATCTGTACGAAATTAGGTTTAATACAATTCAGTTTAATGTTTGTTTTATATACTATCAGTATTAATGAGCAATGTACACTTGAGTAAGGACTTTTCTAACTTGTGCTTTATAATTGCTGCTGCAAAAGACTATTTACACATGCAGTGTGCAATTAAAATCTATAATTTTGAAGCACAGAAATTAAGTGAAGAGTTACATGAGACTGTAACAAAGTGAAAGGTGGTAAACTTTCTCTCTGTTATTTCTTAATTTTAGCTGATGATGCCTCATCACCCGTCCGAGGACCTGGAGATGGCATGGAAACAGAGCAGACAGCTGAATCGGTGGAAGTAATCACTGGAACCACCACCACAAATCATCACATCCACCACAGCCCACATAAAAAGACAGTCTCTTCCCTGAGTCCTGGAGTTCTGCAGCTAGGGAAAGTCCCTGCTGATAAATCAGTGGAGGTTGAAGCTATTCGCATATTAGTCCCCAAAGCAGCTATCACCCATGTTGTTCCTACTAAAAATGCTAAGGTGGCTAAATCAGCAGGACATAAAGGAGACACATTACATCAGTCAGACGGACCCGCAGATCCCAAGAAAGAACAGATAGAGCTGAAAAATGCAATTGAAAAGCTAAAGAATTCAGAAAAACGGTTGTTACAGGATAAAGAAGGCCTCTCTAATCAGCTACGCATACAGACAGAGGTAAGAAATAAAGGTATTTTTTCTCTTGCAGCTGAGCTGCTTTGGTTTATATTGACAGTTTGTGAATGCAACAAAAAAGAACTGTTATGACACTCTAGCCTTGAAATAAATAGTTTCCCTTTTGAAGTTACCAGAGTAGAAGTACATCTAAGTAACCCAGTGCCGCTTCTCTGACAACAGATGAAAGTATCAAAGGCTTGAAGCCAAGAGAAACACACTGGAGGGATGTAAGGAAATGTATCTTTCATGAGAAAAAGATTTTGTTCCTCAACCGCTGAATTCAAAATGTTATGCTATAGAAGGGGTGACTTCAATTTTCTACATCATATAATTTGTGGATGTCTTGTCTAATCCTTTGTTGTATTACTGATTCAGGTCTTGAATACTACTGAAACTTTCTTTGTTTCTTGTAGTAGGCTTTCATTCTTTCTCGTTGGCCTCTGTTGAATTTAAACAAGAATATGTATAATGTGCATTAATCTCAAATGTTTATGCTCAATGGAGTGGATTGTGAGGCTTAATATACTCTGCGTTGGATTTTTCCCATTCTGGGAAAGAGAAAGGCAATTTATTGTTTGCAATAACTTGCACTCCGTTCTGGAAGTAGGAAGTGTTTCATTCTATATTGGTAATTACAAGACAGTCTGGTCTAATTCTAGGTGAATCGGGAGCTGAAGAAATTACTTGTTGCTTCTGTTGGAGATGATCTGCAGTATCACTTTGAACGGATGGCTCGTGAAAAAAACCAGCTAATCCTGGAAAACGAAGTCCTGGGCCGGAATATGTCTCAGTTATCTGAACAATTAGAGCGCATGTCTATACAGTGTGATGTGTGGCGAAGCAAATTCCTGGCAAGCAGGTATTTCCTCGTACAGAATTGTTAAAACAGCATTCTCCTTCAGTCTTGCAGTAGATACGCCCCTTGCAATGCCTGGCAATGTGTTTATATATGCAGAGCACAGCCACACAGCTGTACTGACACCTACTATGAAATTTGAGCGTACAGAAAAGGTACAAAGTAAGCAAGCTCTTTGTAAATTTGCATAGTTCTGCTTTTCTGGGGCAATACAATGGGTCCTAAGTCTCCTAAGAGAGACTCATAACTAAGGTTCTTGTCAACGTAGGAAGAGTTCTTAACTCTGATAGATCATGTGCAGTTAAGGGTTTAAAACGGTCTTCCAGGACATCTGTCTTGGCTTGTCTTAAAGGTAATTAGCTCGGTTTTCATCTGCACTCCACAAGTATCAAAGAGTCATCAAAGTGTCAAGAAGTTGATTTGGTTAAGTACTCAGCTTATGGTGATCCAGTGAACTATTGGGAAGGGCAGCTCAGTATGGAAGAAAGAGTAGGGGCAACTCTTCATTAAACACAGAATCCTACTGTTACTTCTGTAACGATAAAATATTAGGCAGCAAAAGTCAGGAGCAAATCTGAAGCTGGTCTGAATGTCAAAATCTCACTTGATAATGGATTAGACTTTTAACTTGCTAGGTCTGGTTGTCTTGCCAGATAAGTAAATAGTGTTCTAGGATTTTTCATCTTTTACTGTACTTGGATATAACTAAGCATCATAATTAAAATTTAGTTAATACATGTTTCAAAAAGGCCTAACTGTTTGAAGGAGATAGTAATAGAATGCAGTGTCCTCCCTGTAGTTTGCTGGTCTTAAGAAGTTTCAGCATATTGAGTGAATGGAAACACTTGTAATAGTCCTAGCTCGGCAAGTGTTACTATCATAATTTAGCTTGTTTCTTTAGCATTAATAGGAGTTCTGAGATCAGGGATGCAAGTCCCTTCTAGGAGCAACAATGTGGTGGTGTGCTTGGAGTAACACCGTTCAATATTGTAACATTCTGGTTTGTTGAGATCTCGGATTTCTAACTGGTGGTTGTTTAAATGTCCTTCCATTTTTCCATTTGCAGTATTGCAGGCATTTGAAATACCTGCTTGAGGGGTCCATGCCAAGTCTCGTGGCATAACAAAATAGGACAACAGTTGTCTCATTTGTAGCTCTTAAATGCTCGTATCTGGCACGTACAACACCTAAGCAAAACATTATCTTCCACTTGTGTTGACTGCAGTTGAACAGAAATTGCTGTTGTTATATGTCCTTTGTAATAAGGTTGATATAGGCCTTGTGTGGGGGAGGGGCATGAGAACAGCAGCTTAATACTTTGTTTGAGCTGACAAATTACAGTCTTAAGGAGAATAAAGGTGACTTTCAAACTGCTTGCTTACACTACTGATTGGAGATTTCTTTTGCAGGGTTATGGCTGATGAGCTAACTAACACCAGAGCAATTCTTCAGCGTCAAACGAGGGATGCACAAAGTGCAATCCAGGACTTGCTGAATGAACGTGATCAGTTCCGTCAGGAGATGATTGATACACACAAGTATGGTTTTTCTAATCCAGACTCCCTCTGTGTGAACTCTTAATTTCTGTCAGTTTATTCCGGGCCAGGGAAGAAACAAATAACTTTACCCTATTCCAGTAAGATTCAACAAAAATCAGTTATACTAATGGATTGTATGGTCACTTTTCAGTCTCAGAGCTGAAAAAGCCAAAGTAGCATTAATTCTTTCTTCATTGTTCCCTGGAGGTGTTAAGGATACCGTGGAACTGACATCCCTTGTATCCTCAGACTTTCTCTAATGAGTTACTGTCTTGACTTCATGTCTCCTCTGTCTCCTTGTAAAACATACAGATTCTTATAGTCACACTGGCTTTTTAATGCTTATCCTGCCAAATATAAAATGATTTGTACAATTCTGTGTTGGTGAGGCCTTGCCTTGGATAGTTGCCTGTTTGCCTCCTTGTTTTTAAACACTTAAACTTCCTTTTTTGCTTAACGTTTGCCTTGTGCAGCGAGTCTTTGGAAGAGACAATTCTTCTGAAGCATGCTGTGTGCTGATAGCGTGGAGTACAAAAACCACTATTAGTGCTTTTTTTTTTCCCCTTTCTGCGCAGGCTGCTGGAGGAGCTGATGGTTTCTCTTCAATGGGGCAGACAACAGACATACTATCCTAGTGCCCAACCTTACACTACAACAGAGCTAGCAGCTGTGAATTGTAAGCTGGCCAAAGCTGTAAGCTCACATCTTCTTGGAGATGTTGGCGCTAACAGTCCTAAAAAGACTTCAACAGCTGTGGAGTTCTGCAACACTCCTGCTGAGAAAATGGCTGAAATGGTAAGAACGCTTCATACATCTCATTCTGTCGACACAGTCTTCTTTCCAGAAATGAAACACTTTGCTTTGTGCTAACTGCTTAATATCTTGCCTTTTTTAAAAACTACATGCAGGGGAAACATGCTGAATAGAGCTGTTTCCCTTAAACAAACAAACAAAAAAAGACCACAAAAAACAACGCCAAAAAAATCAACACCCAAAATCCAACCACGGAAACTTATGCCCACACAAAAAATAAAACTAGAAGAGTAAGAAAACATAAGTAATATGATGATATGTACTATTTCCTTTTCTGTCCCTAGCACCACAAATAACTGGGTCAAAATTTGTTTAGAATTAGTGTCTCAGGAGGAAGCCAAGTGAAAATACCTAGTTGAGTATAAAATTGAAGTGGGAGAAGAAACCTCATTCAGGTAGAAATAAGTCATAATACTTCAGCAGTAGTTTCTATTGTCCTAAAAATCAGACTGTTGAAAGTGGGTGGAAACACAGAAAGAAGCTATATGATTATCTTTCAAGATAAGGTTCCACTGCAGAAGATGTTTAAATAGTGAACTAGACTAACAGTTTAGCCTGGGAAGAATTGAGTTAACAGCTGAGCAGCAGGAGGCTCACAGTGCCTGGTTATCTGGATTGTTCTTGCCTGGTTTTGGTCAACTCTGTTAAAAAGATTAGAATTTTTTTTTTTATTCTCAATAAAATCATACCTTGAATTACTGATGGACATTACTAACTTAACTAATTTATAAACAGTATTTAATGCCTTTCTACTGAGGGTCTGGATCGACGGAGTTTTACTTTTCAACTTGAAAAATAAAATGAAAAATCTTGCTTTTGGGCAGAAATTCTTCATAGGTGTTAGAGAAGGATAAATCCCATTAAACTTTACAGATATATTTTCATTCTCAATTTTTCCATCCTTAGGTGCTACGTGTACTGGATCCAGCTGCGCGTACAGAAACATCAACAGAAGTTTCGTTTTCTGAGACTTCTCCGTCTTCCTTCCTTTCCACAAAGAAGAGCATTGGAAGGTTTCACCCATATACAAGATATGAAGATGTAACTTTCAATTGTTGCAATCACTGCCAAGGAGAGCTCATAGCCCTTTAAAAGCACTACCAATACACGCGCTCTTTCTGAAGAGTTACACTAGTTGATATTCAGCAACCTTCCCTTTTTCCTGTTTCTTTCCACAACGTCTGGGTTTAATATTGGAAATGATGCAGTTTCTGCTTCTCTATGTCTTGAAGTTAGGGACTGACAGGATTTCCTTAGTCTCTGGGATACGTCTACTACTTTTCAGTCTGGAAAGCTACTTATTTTCTTCTACAAAGGCAAGACCAGAAATGTTATGCTGGTCTGATTTGTAGAGCATAGAGATGTCCTTGCCTATTTAAGGGTTACGGTCTTATTAGCAAATCTCAATGAATTTCTCTGTAGAGGGAGATAAAAGCATAACTAAAGTGAATGAAATGCTGATAGGTCATGTTGGGGAAAAAAAAGGCAATCAAAAATATGGTCATCTCCATGCTTTTTTTTTTTTTAGATCTTAGCCAAGGTGATGAACTGTCCCCAGGTGTATGTTCAGCCTTTTAAATTTAATAATGAAATGGAATATGTGCAATTATTCTTCATAGCTATAAGTTCTGAAAGTAAGAGCATATACAGTGTTGCAGCCCTCCTGGAAAGAAGGGGAAAGAGCTTGAATGAACTCTAGCTATAATATGTAAATATTAACTGGTTTTAAATGGATTCTGGAAAACTCTGCTGGTGAGATTCTTGTGTTTTCCTAAGTGAAATAATGGCTTTTCCATATATTTTAGTTTCTAGAGTGAAGCTGTTACATATCTGATCCCCAGAAAAGACAGGATGTACCTCCTTTAGTATGTAGTGTTGAAACCTGACCTAGCATTAAAATTCAGTCCCTGCCCAAGGTTGTCTTAGGTGTTAGAGGAAGCTGAAGATAAGCACTAAGTTTGCACAGGTACAAGTAAAAAAAATATATTTTTTTACCAATACGGTTTTATAATCTTGATGTAGGTTCAAAGACAATTTTTGTCAGATAATCTGCTAAATCCAAAGAAGCCTATTTAAGTTGCACATGTAAAGAGGAAAAGTAGGAGGATGCAAATACGCATTTTGATTTCCTAGTTTCGCTCCCAAATTTATTAATTGTAGCTGTCTAGTTTGGGGAAAGGGTTTCTGAAACGGTTGCATTTACCCAGTTTTCCTTTGAATATCGTACCATGATCAGAATATGTAATAAGTTCTTGCTGTTGCTGGCCATGTTTCAGTTTGCATGAAGAAAACTACAATAAACTTTCTTTGCTTGCTTTCAAGTTACCATTTTGGATTTAATACAGCTGGATTGTTTTCTCTGCAGCATAAAAGGAACTACGTAAGATTGAACTGTAAAACCTTCCACTCTACTGGTCTGAGGCAGTGAACCAAGAAACGCTTCTGTTGTAGCTTACTACAATTAGGGAGGTGGTAGGAACTTTTGCAGGCTTTCCCCCTGCATTTTCTGGCTAGAAACAAGAAGTATTTCTTGCCCTTGGTGTCAGGGGAAGGGCTATGAAGGAGGAAGGTTTCTCAATAGCATGTGAAATTTTCATTTCACATCCATGCCCTTAATCTATGCTGATAAAAGCTTCAACGCAGCCCCCTCCAGTCCACCACCAGTACTCTCTCAATATACCACTGTCTCCACAATGGTAAAAGAAAAATACCAATTGCAAATTGGCTTTGCATCTACTGCACTTCCTTCTGTTAAAAAACTTCCAGAAACACTCTGAATGTGGAAAAATGTAACAACGCTGACAAAGCTGTAGGACTAGAATGTTCCTCATCATCTTCTAACTTTATGATTTCACAAGTGACATCAGCATGTTCTCTGACAAGGGTTCAAAATTTAGCTGGGTAAGGTGATGTAGTTTATTATAATTAATTTAGCAAACATGGACACGTATACAAGGAATCCAGCTTCCTTGATATTGGTGAAGGTTGTAATTCACACAACACTTAAATTTCACGGAATAGAAAACTACTGAATATGACTCACAGAAATAAGTTTCCAAAACTATTGCACGTTCACATACATGTTAACCTTCAGTTACCACTTCCCCTGAACTAATAGTCCTCTGGTCTAACCAGAATGAACAGCTGGGCAACAGATCAATAGAGAGTGGTACAAGAAACAGCACTTTCCAATAACACCACACCTTGTACAGTCTTCATCACAAGTAGCAGCAAACAGCAATATTAATCCAGCAAAAATGCAACATTTCACATAAATAGCCTGCATCCAGGAATTCATGGTGGGGTTGAGTATAAAGTGCCTTTTAAAGAAAGACAGGAACTGTGTATTTGCCACCCTCGCATATAGATCTCACACTCATTTAGATTTGGTCAAACCAAGAAGATCCCTGAGTTATAGATAAAAGCAGGCATTTCAACAAAATTACAAATAAATAGATAGTAAAATCATTGTCAGTGAAGGGAATTGTTAACACTTGCTCAAAGGCTTTAAAAACACCACAAAAAGTCAGTAGTTGTAAAGAGGAAAAGCTCAAGCTATAAAAATTAAGACGCTTGCCACCAAGAACTCTGGTTACATCACCCTTTCAATTGTAATGGTCTGTGAAGCGAAAGGATTTAGGCTCTGAATTAATGCAGTGGATGTTCTGCATCTGTTTTGCTCTTCTGGCTTCTAATCTAAGCTGCCTTGCTCTCTCTTTAGCAGCCAGTTCTTCTGCTCGTTTCTCTTCTCTCTTTCTTTTTAGCCATCTGTGAAGATAGAAACAGGACTAGAAGTACTGACAGTTGCAATCAGAAGTTTTATGTCATCCCTTCAAAAGTGACTTGCCCCCATTTAACTAGAGTCACCTTGTCCTGTAGGTTAAAGTTAGGCTGAGCCACTCCTCACTTTTCCATCCTAATTCTGCTTCTGCACTCGCCTTCTCCCCCCGCTGCCCGCTTTTGTTGAACTGATTCAACTCATGGGCTCAAGTTGAATCCATTTTATTGGATTCACTTTCTGCTTGTTTAAGGAACTGCATCAACCCACACCTGCTCCAGAACAGGCAAAAAGGGGCAGGGGAGAAGGGATCTCCCTTTTTTCAGCAGAAACAATTCACTATTTCAGCTCAGGTTCTGACTAGTATTTTCACAACAATGAACAAATAACATCAAGGAACTGATGTATTTTTGCTAGGGTGTAGGTTTATGAGGGCACGTTTATGCAAAAAAAAAAACCCACCCCAAACCAATAAGGACTTCAGCAGTAAAGAATAAATAAAATTCACCATAAAATAACTGCAGTCTTAAGCTGATAGACTACAAAATTTTCAAATGTGATTCCCCAGGAATGACCCTACTCACTCTTTAAAGGCTCTGTTGCATTCCTCTGTTCTTGGAAAAAAGGCAATTCCCTCAGCTTGGCGTCTCAAAATTTCAATCTGTTTTTCTTTCATGTGTTCTTGGTGCTTTTTTTTAAGCCATAACCTGAAGGCTTCTTCTGGATTCCTGTTCCTCTCCTGTTTAAAAAAAAAACCAAAAACCCCACATATATACACAAGGCTTCAATAAATGACCTTTATATTAATCACGTTACAACACTTTTTTGAACTCTGCTGGTACCTTCCATCCACAAAACATACTTTATAAGCAAACTAGAGCATATGCTATTCTGGCATGGAATACATACATGAGCAAGTATTCAAAGTGGTGTGTTTTTACAAATACTGCATTTAGCTTTTCAAACCCTTTGCTGCAAGGCAGAGGAACTTTAGAACAGAGCATCTAAATCCTCAGGTTTTTGTCAGGTCACATGCAGTCGCTGCTGCCAGTAAGTTCTATTGGTAAGGAATACACTTTCAAAGGGTTTTCTGGCTGCTTGTTCGCTGCAGGATTCAATCAAGTCATTCTCCTGAAGAGGAGCATCACTATCTCCTGTGATTTTATAGCTATAAGTTAATATATGCAGCTTTTATGACACAAGCCACCCTGCCAAATAAACATGCAAATCACAGAACCATAGAAATGTCTAAGTTGGAAGGGACCTTGAAGATCATCTAATCCAACCATCAACCTAACTGATCAAAAAAAAAACCCATCACTAAACCATGTCACTAAGCACTATGTCAACCTGTCTTCTAAATACCTCCAGGAATGGTACCTCAACCACTTCCCTGGGCAGCCCATTCCAATGCTTAATAACCCTTTCAGTGTAAAAATTTTTCCTAATATCCAATCTGAACCTCCCCTGGCACAACTTGAGGCCATTTCCTCTTGTCCTATCGCCTGTGACTTGGGAGACGGGACCAACCCCCACCTCTCTACAACCTCCTTCCAGGTAACTCAATCTAGTTTTTCACTAAAAAACACTTCCTATAACTCTAAATTTGCATATGCATAGTGTCCTGGTCTCAGCTGAGATAGAGTTAATTTTCTTTCTAGTGCTTCCTGTGGTTTCAGATTCGGTATGCAAGGCATGTCAATAATGTCTATTGTTTTAGGTGTTGCTAAGTGATGTTTATACTACTCAAGGACTTTCTTCAGCTTCCCATAGAAGCTGAGAAGGAGCCTAGACAGGAAAATGGAATGGCCAATGGAATATTTCGTACCATAAGACGTCATGCTCAGTATATAAATGGGTGTTGGCTGGGGATAGTGAGGGGTGGGCTGGGCAGGGGCAGAATCCGTGATCTCCGCTTGGGTTGGGCTGGGTAAACAATTCACCATCTGGTGAGAGTGACTTGTGTCTTGTATATTCTTTTACCATTATTATCATTGTTCTTTTCCTTTTCTCTTTTTGTTCTATTAAACTATCTTTATGTCAGCCAACAAGGGTTTTTTTTCCTTTCCCTCCTTTTCTCCTTCTTCTCCCTACCCTTCTGGGGCGGAAGAGGGGTGAGCGAGAGGCTGTGTGGTTCTAGTTGCTGGCTGGGGTTAAACCATGACACTTAGCTAAGAACACAGGCTTGGAATTTGGTTTTCCTATTTAACAAGGGCACTATAAATCCCAGTCCTACACTAGGGGTATCTTACTTTGCTGTTCAGCTCTTCTAGCTCCTTTGCACGACGAATTCGCTTTTCTTCTTGCACTTGTTCTTTCTTCTTCTGTAACCAAGCTTTAAAAACCATCTCATTCTCTCTTCTCTTCTGTTCTTCTTGTTCCCTTTTCTTTTCTTCTTCCTTGAATGGAATTAAGAGTGAATAAAGATAGTTTTTAAGAGAATCACCTTCATCTACAAAGGCCTTCATTGTAACAATAGACAATACATAAGCCATTTGAGTTATATGAGGGACACACAAAAATACTGATGAAATTAGAATACTCATTGACTGCATCACAGCTGTGTTTGAGCACTTCTGTGGTTCACATTACGTTCAGATACTTTCAGTCTAACGCTTTTTGTCATTACCTCCATTTCCATGATAAAACTCAACTCAGACATTTCAATAGCACAGGTGAAGACTTTTAAAATTAAGCCTGCCCAATAGTTCTGATTGGCTTAAAATCAGATTACACTGACGCATTTTAAAAATTAATGAAACTCTCAGGCTCGTTGGACCACTAAACCCTAAAGGATATGTAACTACCTATGGACTGCAGGCACTACCTTATAAATAAGGATTTTTTTTCTGGACATAAAGTTGTAATGTATCTACTTAAGGAGTATTAACAGCTTAATACTTTTTTTCAAGTTTACAAAATGATTTTTACAAATTTGAGAAAACTTTTTTGCAATTATTAATCACACTTTAGCTAATAACAAGTACTTACAAAGAGGAGAAAGGCTTCAAACAATAGTTCAGAAAGCTGATAAGGACCTTTTACCAGGTTTTGATTCTCTTTGACACACACGACAATCCCCGCTCATTTCAACACTTGGAGAAATCTGTTCTTGCGAATAGATGATGTTCCTCCCACCTATACACTTTCAGTTTACCCTCCAAATTTACAATCTGTAATTTACTGAAATGAAAGAACCCCCATCAAAATGAAGCAAATGGATTCCAGTAACATCAAGAAATGTTTCATGACTGTGAAGTCCATTACAGAATGGAAGAGCTCCATTCAAGAATGAAGAAAATAAGATAATACATTCTTACCGTAACTCAGCCAACAGAGATTTAGTACACACTATGAGGAAAATAACCTTCCTTACCTCCACCAGACTACCTTTTACTTGAAATAGGCAGAGTATGATGTCAAGAGACGTAGTCTTGTGTGTAAAAAGAAAAGACATCAGTAACTCTTCACATTTCATACCCCTGGTTCCTAAGCTAAGCCTCAGCAAACTTTTCAAATAAAGCAGGCTAGACCTACTTCCATGGGAG